TTACATACCCAAAACGATAGATTACCGTCTGCAAGCAAGATTTGCTATATATTATATCCAAAATTCAACCTAGTATATAAACAGCAGCCATTTGTAAAATAGAGTGACTTCCGCCTGAATCTCGCGCTATATGTCTATAAAAATAAAACTTTAACAAGATGGCTGCTATAGTAAATGAGCGTGGTTGCATCTGTTGGAAACATCGCTGGTGTTCATTTATTACTGAAAAGTTTTAATTCAAACGTTTAAAAACAGGTACATAAATGAAACAAGGAAACATTTTTGTATTTTTCAAAACATAAATCCTCCTCAAAATGTGAAATAATTATTAAAATGTAAGGAGTCACCTGTTTTTCACATTACTAGTCGCGGCCGATTTTACGTACCTAAAACGATAGATTACCAACTAGTCTACTAGCTAGTTTTTAGGCCGTTCGATTCAACACTTCCGGGTTTGTCATTTTCGTGGCATCTCACGGCTCATGCGCGTACTAAAAATGGCGACCAGTTTCGCTTTCACTAAACGGTAGAGGGATAAAACTAATAATAACGAGGCCATCGTTAATTTTAGACATCGGAACTATCCGTTTCTATTTCAGTCTGTTTAAGAATTCCCAGATCTACTTTTGACCTAATTTCTTTATTTGTATTTAACGAGGCCGTCGAGAGAAAGTCACGCTTACTTAGCTTGCGTTTCAAGTCGAATTAACTAAAGCAGGTGCATTCTTCAATAACTTTCTTATATGATACAATTTGTATAACATCTTTACTATCAAATAAAAATAGAACTGTTTAATATAATTTGGGTGAAAACAATGCTTTTGAGGGTGTAAGTAATAATGCCATTTTATTATATTCTTGTTTGGTGAAAACGAGGCGCGGGAAAATGTGTGCAGCGCAAGAATCCAATCATTTGGCTAGATTTATGACTGTTTTTTATGTCACACCTAAAAATAGAATGTTTACGCTTTCTTCGTTGATGATCGTTTTTATTATTTTTTAAATTGAAAGTATGAATTATTAGTTAGATTGCAGATTTTGTAACTTGGTATACTTACCCTTTATCAATTTTAAAAACATAGCATGCTGATTGTGAACACATATAGTCATAAAACACAGAAATATAAAGTTATAATTGCGATGTGCCACACCCGGGCCACACCCCCTCAAGAAAACACGTGTTTATTAAGCTGTTTATCTCACTTTACAACAGTAATTAAAATTAATTTTCAAATTTTTATCACTTATTGGGTAAGATTAAGCACATGTTTACCAAAAATAAAAAAAATAAAAAAAGCAAATTCTGTTTTAATGAAGGTCACGGGTGAAGTTTTTTTTCCTTCTGTCACGTTCAGTGGAGGGTGCCACAGGCTGACCTGACTTTGGAATTTTTTTCAGTAATAATGACTTTGCACAGAAAGTTAAAATATGCTAAATTAGCTTAGTTTACTAGTGTTCTAGCTATTATTGATACATTTTTAATAAAAAAAATCATTCTGTAATTCTCATCAAAAAGCCTATAGTTTTCTAGGCAGCTAGATTCAGCTAGAATTAGTAGATTAGATCTCTCTGTTAATGGACACAAGCGAGAAAAGTCTCAAAGGTATTTGAGAGGTGCATAAATTAATTTAAAAATCTTGCACGGCGTAGTTACAATTAATATGGTTATAAAATCCTGTCTGTCTGTTTTTTTTCGGACTTTACTAAAGATTGGACGTATTTGATGTTTTTAATATTTTCGGTAACTAAATAAAAATTTAAAAAAAAGCAAAAACAATTTGGTTTTCACGTGTAATGGCGACATAAACAATGGCATCCTGCTATTGGATAGGCCGACATAAATTTTATTGTACACATTGTAAGCTAAAAATAGAAAACTAGGTCATGGGGTTTTAAATTTGCATTGTTATTTAAAAACTTGATCTGCAAAGTTTTGTAAACAAATAGTTATCGATCACTAAGTTACTGTACAGCCAATCAATATTTGTCTTACGAAAGTGAAACATCCGTTTATAACTTAGGCTTGATGAAAATAAATAGAGATGTAGCCTTAAACTCAACAAATTATTTTCAAGTTCACTGGATTTGCAACTTATAGCATTTATTCTAAAAATATAAAATTTCTAAATTAATTTTAGGCTTAAGTTTTTATTTTTTATTTTTTTTTACGGTCTAAATTTAAAAAGCACGTTTTTATTCCATGTCAACAACACTATGGAAGGAATCTCGTCAACTCGCTTGTCTCCATTACTCTGTTACACTAGGTAAAAAGTCACTGTAAAACTAGAGTAAACTTCTGCAAATCGATCAGACATGCACAAAATTCCGAACTCCCGATTTTCATCGGGCGCTATAATTTTGTAACTGTTTCACACAGAAACAAACAGAAAGTACTGTGTTATTCCGCTGCCATATTACTCTAATATCATATGTATCAGTAATTTTGTATTCCTATGCGTAGACTTCGAGATCTTCATGTTTTAATGGGTGAATGAAAAAAAAGTCACAGTAAAAAAAAACAGAAAAAAGTCACAGTTTTTGCTAGGAAAAAAGTCAGAAAAAAAGCCACAATGGAAATATATATTTGTGACTTTTTCCCTGTGACTTTTTTTCCAGCAATCGTTTTAGTGACGTCCCTCCTTGCAATATTTTTCCCCCCTCTTTTTTTTCCTGCAGCCGCCTGCCCCTGCTAGCGTAATGACCATATTTTTTGTACTATTACTCCCTAACCCGGAGGCACAGCCGGTTGCTAGCACCAATATGGCGTACAGACCGGATACATGACTTTTGACGATTTTTCATCTTAGTTCCAGTGACCTTCTTTGAATTACTGTTTAAAATGTTTACCACGAGCAAAATGGCGGGATTTTCGCGTTATAAAAACAAACTATAGGTGGCAGGGCTAGATATGCCAGAAAAGCATTTTAAAATTTGGTTTGGAGAATGGAGGCTAAATTCAAAAGTTGGTTTCATTAAAATTAATAGAACTTTTAAAATATCAAAGGTGAGGGTACAAAAAGGAGCAAGAACATAAAGCATTATTAGTTTTATCAGTCTATGAAAAAAGAAATAAAATATTGTGAGCTGTTTTTTTATAAGACCGTCGTTCATATCACAACCAATTTATTTTTATTTTTTAAAAACCATGTGACCGCTATTTGGCTCATCAGTAGTGAGGAACTCTGGTGCATAGCCAATTAAAAAGTCGAAACGGTTCGTGGTTTGCCGTGGCTTCAGATGTAAGTTGTGTTGAAATGGAGAGGTCTGTCGTGCAGTGCAGTGAGTGTCAATAAATATTAAATTAAGTAATTTAGTTTAAAACGAACTTAAAACTTCAAAATTAGTGCGTTATGGATTAAATATGGATGTCTATTATTCTGTGGTCATGTTTAAATAGAAAATTGTGTAAATTTTAGTTTTAGTGAGAAAATCTATTTTATAGGTTTTGATCCAATTTTAATAGGCCTAATTAAAATATTTTACATTTTTAAACATGTTGTTGATTGTATTATTAATTAATAGATTGCAAAACCAATAAAAAAAAGACTTTAAATTTATTAACTACACATCAAGGATAACCCAGTGAACGCTCAAGGAACTCAACCATAATATACATAATACAAGGGACGTAACAATCACTAACAAAACATAAAATGTGCTTACACATGTTGGTATGTAGAGACAAAAACGAGATCTAGAAGAAGTAGATGATCAAAAATAATTTAAAACAACAGACAAATTTAGACAATATATAGATTCTAGACAGATTTAAATATAGAGGATCTAGATATAGGCTAGTCTAGTTCAATAATTTAAAACACCAGACAAATTTAGACAATATATAGATTCTAGACAGATTTAAATATAGAGGATCTAGATCTAGGCTAGTCTAGTTCAAGTCGTTGGTGGCGCAGTGAGGGTAAAACACCCTAACCCCCAACTGCGACCACCTCGGGTTAGGGTTATGGTCAGATTGCTTTAATAGCCTTAACTATAGTATTTACAGGGTCCAGCACATATGTAGAAGCTATTTATACTTAACCTAGTTATAAAAAGCTTTTATTGGTTGCTTTTATTCGTCTCATCCGGGACCTAGTGCTTTTTTTCCGTGGGTACTAGAATCGCCGACGACCTCACACCTAGAAACTTGACATGCGTACAGCAGATATCGGTAGTTTTGTATAAAACATCCAAACAATTACTATACAAAGCGATAAAGAGGGGGATGGCCACATGTGTTGAACCGCTTGTTGTAGAACTTTACTCTTAATCTTATTGTTAGTAATGTATTAAATAGATCATGATATAGCGTCGGGAATCATCTGGTAACCCTAATGTCTGTTGAGTTTCGTAAACAGTCATTACTGTAAACCATAGTTAGCTATGTTCAACACTATTTTTTGCATGCTTTTATTGTGTTTATATTAACATGTTATACATCATTCTGTTTGTAATGGAATAACCTTGTAAACTGTACAGGTTTGAATTAATATTATTTTAAACATTGAAGAAATTGCTGATTGAGTCACATTTTACCCCCCCCCCCCCTTGCGACTTGCTGATTGGGGGGAGGCTTTATCACCTTTTTAAAAGCGGGGGTGTTACTTTTAGTCTATAGAGTCTTTGAGTTTACGTTGTACAACAGTGAAACTTGGTAGAATAGATTAGGTGTTCACATATAACTCTCAAGGTTCTTGGTCAAAATATGAAATTATACCAATTGATGAAGTCTTCCTGCTTGTATTTTTCCTCATACAAAATACATGGTCTATCCATGTTGTCTGAAAAAACTGCTATTTTTTAATGACAAAAAAATTCATAACTTTTTTGTTTATGGTAAGATTTTAAAAATTCAAACACATTAATTCTTAAGTTAAGCAAATAACTTTTGTATCAACTGATATTGATGAAATATTATGCTTCAGAGTCTTCAGAATAAGTACTGGCAAGTTGGCCAGGTTTGCTGATGGTGCAGCTGTAGCCCAGGTAACCTTTGTATTGCAACTTTCTTAACTTACTCATAGCTAGAGTTGTCAGTTGTAACCTTCACAGTTTGTATTGCAACTTTCTTAACTTACTCATAGCTAGAGTTGTCAGTTACATACTTTTTTTCTGAGCTGTAGCCTTCACAGTTTGTATTGCAACTTTCTTAACTTACTCATAGCTAGAGTTGTCTGTTACATACTTTTTTCTGAGCTGTAGCCTTCGTCTAAGCCAATTTAAAAAAAAATTACATTACAGCTTGGAGATACTAGTGTTTTGGTGACAGCTGTCAGTCAAAAACAAGACACATCATCATCTTTTCTCCCTTTAACTGTAAGTACCACAATCATTAACAGATCTTTTTTTATTTAGGTATTGTATTTCAGTACGTTTCTGCTTATACATTGTGATTCTGCTTATAAATTGTGATTCTGTTTATAAAATATGATTCTACTTATAAATTGTGATTCTGTTTATAAAATGTGATTCTGCTTATAAAATGTGATTCTGCTTATAAATTGTGATTCTGTTTATAAAATGGAGTTTGGTTTATAACCCTAACCCTAGAGTTTGGCATTGTGTGCAAGAGCTATGTCTTTGGAAGCTCATGGGCAATATATTTGCTGAATTAGTTTTTGACAATATTTGATTGACTACAGTCTGTCTACTATTTTAGGTTGACTACCGTCTATCTTATATTTTATGATGACTCTATCTTATATTTTAGGTTGACCAACGTCTATCTTATATTTTAGGTTGACTACCGTCTATCTTATATTTTAGGTTGACTCTATCTTATATTTTAGGTTGACTCTATCTTATATTTTAGGTTGACTATCTTATATTTTAGGTTGACTATCTTATATTTTAGGTTGACTCTATCTTATATTTTAGGTTGACTCTATCTTATATTTTAGGTTGACTCTATCTTATATTTTAGGTTGACTATCTTATATTTTAGGTTGACTATCTTATATTTTAGGTTGCCTCTAACTTATATTTTAGGTTGACTATCTTATATTTTAGCTTGACTATCTTATATTTTAGGTTGACTCTATCTTATATTTTAGGTTGACTCTATCTTATATTTTAGGTTGACTATCTTATATTTTAGGTTGACTCTATCTTATATTTTAGGTTGACTCTATCTTATATTTTAGGTTGACTATCTTATATTTTAGGTTGACTATCTTATATTTTAGCTTGACTTTATCTTATATTTTAGCTTGACTCTATCTTATATTTTAGCTTGACTCTATCTTATATTTTAGGTTGACTCTATCTTATATTTTAGGTTGACTATCTTATATTTTAGGTTGACTCTATCTTATATTTTAGGTTGACTATCTTATATTTTAGGTTGACTATCTTATATTTTAGGTTGACTCTATCTTATATTTTAGGTTGACTATCTTATATTTTAGGTTGACTATCTTATATTTTAGGTTTACTCTATCTTATATTTTAGGTTGACTCTATCTTATATTTTAGGTTGACTATCTTATATTTTAGCTTGACTCTATCTTATATTTTAGGTTGACTCTATCTTATATTTTAGGTTGACTCTATCTTATATTTTAGGTTGACTATCTTATATTTTAGGTTGACTATCTTATATTTTAGGTTGACTATCTTATATTTTAGGTTGCCTCTATCTTATATTTTAGGTTGACTATCTTATATTTTAGCTTGACTATCTTATATTTTAGGTTGACTCTATCTTATATTTTAGGTTGACTCTATCTTATATTTTAGGTTGACTCTATCTTATATTTTAGGTTGACTATCTTATATTTTAGGTTGACTCTATCTTATATTTTAGGTTGACTCTATCTTATATTTTAGGTTGACTCTATCTTATATTTTAGGTTGACTCTATCTTATATTTTAGGTTGACTATCTTATATTTTAGCTTGACTCTATCTTATATTTTAGGTTGACTCTATCTTATATTTTAGGTTGACTCTATCTTATATTTTAGGTTGACTCTATCTTATATTTTAGGTTGACTATCTTATATTTTAGGTTGACTATCTTATATTTTAGGTTGACTATCTTATATTTTAGGTTGACTATCTTATATTTTAGGTTGACTATCTTATATTTTAGGTTGACTATCTTATATTTTAGGTTGACTCTATCTTATATTTTAGGTTGACTATCTTATATTTTAGGTTGACTATCTTATATTTTAGGTTGACTATCTTATATTTTAGGTTGACTATCTTATATTTTAGGTTGACTATCTTATATTTTAGGTTGACTATCTTATATTTTAGGTTGACTATCTTATATTTTAGGTTGACTATCTTATATTTTAGGTTGACTACCGTCAGAAAGCTGCCGCTGCTGGAAGGATCCCAACAAATTTTTTACGCAGAGAACTTGGTCCCACAGAAAAAGAAATATTGACCAGTCGGGTTATTGGTGAGCCAATTTTCTAACTTGACATAAATGTTTATTTAATAGGTGAGCCAACAATTACAAATTACCCAATTATTGTATTATAATACTCACTGAAATAAGCTTGAATATTCATCCAAAATGTTGAGACAGCTAATGTATTTTTTAAGTGTGTGCTTTATTTGTCATATATATATTGGCTGGCAGAAGAATACTTGAAAAAAAAAATTCATTATAGCCATGTTACCAATGTCACCTCAATAAAAAAATTTTAAGTGACATGTATTGCATCCAAAATGGAACCTGAACTAGCTGAACCATTTTGCTAAAGTTTATTTGAAATGTTTTCATTTATTTAACAGACAGGTCACTGCGACCACTTTTCCCTTCTGGTTTCTTTTGTAATACTCAAGTAAGTCACATTGGATCTCAAACATTTAGTCTCAAGATAATTATGGTTTTCTTTAAACATTTAGTCTCAAGATAATTATGGTTTTCTTTAAACATTTAGTCTCAAGATAACTATGGTTTTCTTTAAACATTTAGTCTCAAGATAATTATGGTTTTCTTTAAACATTTAGTCTCAAGATAATTGTGGTTTTCTTTAAACATTTAGTCTCAAGATAATTATGGTTTTCTTTAACCATTTAGTCTCAAGATAATTATGGTTTTCTTTAAACATTTAGTCTCAAGATAACTATGGTTTTCTTTAAACATTTAGTCTCAAGATAACTATGGTTTTCTTTAAACATTTAGTCTCAAGATAATTATGGTTTTCTTTAAACATTTAGTCTCAAGATAATTATGGTTTTCTTTAAACATTTAGTCTCAAGATAATTATGGTTTTCTTTAAACATTTAGTCTCAAGATAATTATGGTTTTCTTTAAACATTTAGTCTCAAGATAACTATGGTTTTCTTTAAACATTTAGTCTCAAGATAATTATGGTTTTCTTTAACCATTTAGTCTCAAGATAACTATGGTTTTCTTTAAACATTTAGTCTCAAGATAATTATGGTTTTCTTTAACCATTTAGTCTCAAGATAACTATGGTTTTCTTTAAACATTTAGTCTCAAGATAATTATGGTTTTCTTTAAACATTTAGTCTCAAGATAATTATGGTTTTCTCTGATTTTTTAAATCTCAAACATTTAGTCTCAAAATAAATATGGTTTTCTCTGATTTTTTAAATCTTAAACATTTAGTCTCAAGATAATTATGGTTTTCTCTGATTTTTTTAAATGTTTGAGTAAGTCACATTAGATCTTAAACATTTACCTTTTCTTTGATTTGGTCAAACTTAAACTTTCTTGATATGATAAAAAAAATAGTATGGACTATTCATTTCAATTGAATGCAACAAATGAATGAATAGATCTGAGTCAAGCCAACCAAAGTAAATGTCCTGAGAGTGTTATGCTAATCTCTGCAGGTCATGTGTAACCTTTTGGCTGTAGACGGAGTCAACGATCCAGATATAGTTAGTATCAATGCAGGTGAGTCCCCAGATATAGTTAGTATCAATGCAGGTGAGTCCCCAGATATAGTTAGTATCAATGCAGGTGAGTCCCCAGATATAGTTTTAGTTAGTATCAATGCAGGTGAGTCCCCAGAAATAGTTAGTATCAATGCAGGTGAGTCCCCAGATATAGTTTTAGTTAGTATCAATGCAGGTGAGTCCCCAGATATAGTTAGTATCAATGCAGGTGAGTCCCCAGATATAGTTAGTATCAATGCAGGTGAGTCCCCAGAAATAGTTAGTATCAATGCAGGTGAGTCCCTAGATATAGTTAGTATCAATGCAGGTGAGTCCCCAGATATAGTTAGTATCAATGCAGGTGAGTCCCCAGATATAGTTTTAGTTAGTATCAATGCAGGTGAGTCCCCAGATATAGTTAGTATCAATGCAGGTGAGTCCCCAGATATAGTTTTAGTTAGTATCAATGCAGGTGAGTCCCCAGATATAGTTAGTATCAATGCAGGTGAGTCCCCAGATATAGTTAGTATCAATGCAGGTGAGTCCCCAGATATAGTTTTAGTTAGTATCAATGCAGGTGAGTCCCCAGATATAGTTAGTATCAATGCAGGTGAGTCCCCAGATATAGTTAGTATCAATGCAGGTGAGTCCCCAGATATAGTTTTAGTTAGTATCAATGCAGGTGAGTCCCCAGATATAGTTAGTATCAATGCAGGTGAGTCCCCAGATATAGTTAGTATCAATGCAGGTGAGTCCCCAGATATAGTTAGTATCAATGCAGGTGAGTCCCCAGATATAGTTAGTATCAATGCAGGTGAGTCCCCAGATATAGTTAGTATCAATGCAGGTGAGTCCCCAGATATAGTTAGTATCAATGCAGTGAGTCCCCAGATATAGTTAGTATCAATGCAGTGAGTCCCCAGATATAGTTAGTATCAATGCAGGTGAGTCAAGGTTTTTATTTGTAAATATCAGCGCTGTAGGTCATCAATTCTTGTAGGTGTTGGTCAGTGTTAGAGCATCAGTTTTATAGTTGCAAGTCCAACCCAGAGAGAGAAAAAAATTCCATAGTTCTAATCAAATTATAACCATAATCAAATGTGAATAAAAGATGAAGTGCTGATCTATCAGATGTTACACTTGCTTTGTTTGTAAAGAATCGTTTGGGCTATTTTTTTTTTCCATTTTCATTAGAGCTCAATTACTCAATATTGATTTATTTCATCACAGCATTGCTTCCTTTCAGAATATTTCTACCAACATGTGAAAGAGAGAATACTTGCATTTAGTAAAAATGTGTATAATCCGTGTTTTTCATTTTAAAGTTTAAAGTAAAAAAGAATAGCTGAATTTACCTGATTTAGGGTAATCTTTTACCCAAATGATATGATTAATTATAAAAACTTCCACTGTAGCTACACCACTGCCACTACCAACACCACTACCTACACCACAATACCTACGCCTCTATACCTACACCACTAACTACACCACAACACTTACACCACTAGCTATGCCACTACCTACACCAATATCTACACCACTACCTACACCACTACCTACGCCACTGTACCTACAGCACTACCTACACCACTACCTAAGCCACTGTACCTTCACCACTACCTATGCCACTACCTACGCCACTGTACCTTCACCACTACCTATGCCACTACCTACACCACTACCTACACCACTACCTATGCCACTGTACCTACGCCACTACCTATGCCACTGTACCTACACCACTACCTATGCCTCTGTACCTACACCACTACCTATGCCACTGTACCTATGCCACTGTACCTACACCACTACCTATGCCACTGTACCTATGCCACTGTACCTACACCACTACAGACGCCACTACCTATGCCTCTGTACCTACACCACTACCTATGCCACTACCCACACCACTACCTACGCCTCTATACCTACGTCACTACCTACACCACTACCTATGCCACTGTACCTACACCACTACCTACACCACTACCTATGCCACTGTACCTACACCACTACCTATGCCACTACCTACACCACTAGCTATGCCACTACCTACACCACTACCTATGCCACTACCTATGTCCCTGTACATATGCCACCAGAACTACCAACTATACACTGTGTATTAGTGCCAATCTTTTGGACCTGGACTATTAAACATTTATTATTGTTGTAGACTGTTATAGTAGCTATATGGACTTCTCAAATGAATATCCCAACTGTAAAACATGGTGTGATAGCATTTTAATGAGACATTTTCTTCCAATACAGCTTCAGCAGCATTAGCCGTATCAGATATTCCATGGGATGGGCCAGTTGGTAAGTCTTATATTTCCATGGGTTGGGCCAGTTGGTAAGTCTTATATTTCCATGGGTTGGGCCAGTTTGGTAAGTCTTATATTTCCATGGGATGGGCCAGTTGGTAAGTCTTATATTTCCATGGGATGGGCCAGTTGGTAAGTCTTATATTTCCATGGGATGGACCAGTTGGTAAGTCTTATATTTCCATGGGTTGGGCCAGTTAGTAAGTCTTATATTTCCATGGGATGGGCCAGTTGGTAAGTCTTATATTTCCATGGGATGGGCCAGTTGGTAAGTCTTATATTTCCATGGGATGGGCCAGTTGGTAAGTCTTATATTTCCATGGGATGGGCCAGTTGGTAAGTCTTATATTTCCATGGGATGGGCCAGTTGGTAAGTCTTATATTTCCATGGGATGGGCCAGTTGGTAAGTCTTATATTTCCATGGGATGGGCCAGTTGCTAAGTCTTATATTTCCATGGGATGGGCCAGTTGGTAAGTCCAGAGCCAACATCTAGGTCATTTGTTTACTCTACTACATTGTACTCATGAATGGATTTGCAGGTGCTGTTCGAGTGGGTTTGCTAGGAAGTGATGTCATCATGAATCCCACCAGGAGGCAGCTACAGAAAAGTTCATTAAACATTATAGTCACTGGAACTAAAGAGAGGAAAGTTGGTGAGTTGATTGGATCTTGTCTGTTTAGAGGTTTTTTTAATTAAACCAAGAGACTGAATCTTGTCAGTTTAAAGGTTTTTTTTAATTAAACCAAGAGACTGAATCTTGTCAGTTTAAAGGTTTTTTTTAATTAAACCAAGAGACTGAATCTTATCAGTTTAGAGGTTTTTTTTAATTAAACCAAGAGACTGAATCTTGTCTGTTTAAAGGTTTTTTTTAATTAAACCAAGAGACTGAATCTTGTCTGTTTAAAGGTTTTTTTTAATTAAACCAAGAGACTGAATCTTGTCTGTTTAAAGGTTTTTTTTAATTAAACCAAGAGACTGAATCTTGTCTGTTTAAAGTTTTTTTTTAATTAAACCAAGAGACTGAATCTTGTCTGTTTAAAGTTTTTTTTAAATTAAACCAAGAGACTGAATCTTGTCTGTTTAAAGGTTTTTTTTAATTAAACCAAGAGACTGAATCTTGTCTGTTTAAAGGTTTTTTTTAATTAAACCAAGAGACTGAATCTTGTCTGTTTAAAGGTTTTTTTTAATTAAACCAAGAGACTGAATCTTGTCTGTTTAAAGTTTTTTTTTAATTAAACCAAGAGACTGAATCTTGTCTGTTTAAAGTTTTTTTTTAATTAAACCAAGAGACTGAATCTTGTCTGTTTAAAGGTTTTTTTTAATTAAACCAAGAGACTGAATCTTGTCTGTTTAAAGGTTTTTTTTAATTAAACCAAGAGACTGAATCTTGTCTGTTTAAAGGTTTTTTTTAATTAAACCAAGAGACTGAATCTTGTCTGTTTAAAGGTTTTTTTTAATTAAACCAAGAGACTGAATCTTGTCAGTTTAGAGGTTTTGAATGAGACCAAGATGGATGTGACTTCCAAACCCTTTCAGAATTCAAATATTCAGTCCCTATTTTGCAGTAGATTTTTTTTTTAGTCACACGCAAAATAAAACAAGTTTTTAAATGTTGCTGTTCTATCTTAAATAACTGGGCTGCTATCAAAATAATTATTTTTTTGGTGCAAATGTTGTTTTTCAAATTATATATCCAAAACACTATTTATATTAAGTAGTAGGCGTTATTTAATTTCTATTTAATTTCCATTATATGTGAACTCAAAAGTTCAAATTAAAATTTGAACTTTTGAGACTAACTGACTGTGTTAATAGAGTCATTCTTTTGACTGGGCACTGTACTGACCCCACTCTCCCCTCTGTGTACTGACCCCACTCTCCCCTCTGTGTACTGACCCCACTCTCCCCTCTGTGTACTGACCCCACTCTCCCCTCTGTGTACTGACCCCACTCTCCCCTCTGTGTACTGACCCCACTCTCCCCTCTGTGTACTGACCCCACTCTCCCCTCTGTGTACTGACCCCACTCTCCCCTCTGTGTACTGACCCCACTCTCCCCTCTGTGTACTGACCCCACTCTCCCCTCTGTGTACTGACCCCACTCTCCCCTCTGTGTACTGACCCCACTCTCCCCTCTGTGTACTGACCCCACTCTCCCCTCTGTGTACTGACCCCACTCTCCCCTCTGTGTACTGACCCCATTCTCCCCTCTGTGTACTGACCCCACTCTCCCCTCTGTGTACTGACCCCACTCTCCCCTCTGTGTACTGACCCCACTCTCCCCTCTGTGTACTGACCCCACTCTCCCCTCTGTGTACTGACCCCACTCTCCCCTCTGTGTACTGACCCCACTCTCCCCTCTGTGTACTGACCCCACTCTCCCCTCTGTGTACTGACCCCACTCTCCCCTCTGTGTACTGACCCCACTCTCCCCTCTGTGTACTGACCCCACTCTCCCCTCTGTGTACTGACCCCACTCTCCCCTCTGTGTACTGACCCCACTCTCCCCTCTGTGTACTGACCCCACTCTCCCCTCTGTGTACTGACCCCACTCTCCCCTCTGTGTACTGACCCCACTCTCCCCTCTGTGTACTGACCCCATTCTCCCCTCTGTGTACTGACCCCACTCTCCCCTCTGTGTACTGACCCCACTCTCCCCTCTGTGTACTGACCCCACTCTCCCCTCTGTGTACTGACCCCACTCTCCCCTCTGTGTACTGACCCCACTCTCCCCTCTGTGTACTGACCCCACTCTCCCCTTTGAGAGAGTGATCCAGTCTAAAATTGTACTTGCCTTATTTCAGTAATGCTAGAAGGTGAAGCAGATAGAGTTGGTCTCCACAAAGTAGAGCAAGCTTTATCCTATGCATTGAAAACTACCCAAACAATTGTGGATCAAATTAAATCACTGCAAGCTATGGTAGGCAAACAAAAAAGGGAAGTAGAGCCACCAAAATTACTTCCAGCTGATGTTACAGAAGCCGTTAAAAGGTGGGAAAATTTCCTCTAGTTGTACGTTCATTCAAAATGGTGGGAAAATTTCCTCTAGTTGTACGTTCATTCAAAATGGTGGGAAAATTTCCTCTAGTTGTACGCTCATTCAAAATGGTGGGAAAATTTCCTCTAGTTGTACGTTCATTCAAAATGGTGGGAACATTTCCTCTAGTTGTACGTTCATTCAAAATGGTGTGAACATTTCCTCTAGTTGTACGTTCATTCAAAAAGGTGGGAAAATTTCCTCTAGTTGTACGTTCATTAAAAAAAGTGGGAAAATTTCCTCTAGTTGTACGTTCATTCAAAATGGTGGGAACATTTCCTCTAGTTGTACGTTCATTCAAAAAGGTGGGAACATTTCCTCTAGTTGTACGTTCATTCAAAAAGGTGGGAAAATTTCCTCTAGTATTACGTTCATTCAAAATGGTGGAAACATTTCCTCTAGTTGTACGTTCATTCAAAATGTAAACAATGTAGATTAGCTTCACTTTTCTGCTTCTAACTTTGCCTATTACTTTTGGACCATTTGAGATAATCAAGCCAAATTTGGTATCCATACTCAGGATCAAACAACAATGCAGCAGGATTCTGAAATTCTTTTTTTTTTTTTACAATGTATGAACAGAACAATGTATATCAAACGAACACATAATTATTATCAACACGCCAAGGAGCCTGAAATTTTACAGCACCACGTGCATCAGAACGTACTAGAACAGTTTCATTGTCACTATCAATTTCAATGTCACTGTGTTCAGTCTCAAATTCAACGTCACTATCATCACAATTTAGACCAGAAATATTATCTTCTTCATCAGAATCAATAAGTAGTTGTATTTCCTGAAATGCAGTCATTCTACTTCTTTTGTTCATATTACGGTCTTTTGCTTCATCTTTATGAGCTGAAGTCGATGGCTGTGGCTCAGCTTTTTGTTTCGGCGGCATTGCTACGAAACGTAAGCACTTTCACTTTTCCTAAAATCCATTTTTAGAATCATAATCCCGCACTAAAAAGACATATGGGCAGTTTTAGTCAGTCTTCCGCTAATTATATTCAATTAGAAGGTATACCGGCCGCTAGGAATACGACGCTAGATCTTCGGGCCGGAAAACTGGCTTTTCGGACATATATGCCTAATGTTGAAGCCGGTTTACCGGCCTGGCGGGCTCAAATGGTTAAGGGGGTAGGCTCCGGTAAAAAAAAAACTTTTTTTAATACTCGTTAGGAAACAATTGTTTGTCTATAGCTGTTTAAGGTACATCTGCATGTTTCCATAAAAAAAAAATTGTGGTAAAATCTTGGTAACTATGACAACGGCAGCCATCTTTAAAAATTAACCCCTTCGTAGGTTTTCCACCATTCATAAAATATTATATTTTAAGCCCAATAAACAATGAATTCTTAATCTTTTACCATATTTTGGGGTGCTCAGCTAAAAATTTTAATTGCATATCTTCAAACTAATTTTTTATGAATTTTCAAATTGTGGTTCGGTTAAAAACACTAGTTTTGTTCCCCCAAAATTGTTTTTAACAGATACAAATATAAAGCTAAGATAAATAAGCCTACATTAAATTGTGATGTTTTTTTGAAGAAGCCTACTATTTCTTATAATTTATTTTAACCCTAACCCTACTGCTTTTTTTATTAGATTGTCTTTAGTTGAACATTGGACTGACTTTATCTTTAGTTTATCTTTAGTTCAGCATATCACTGTTTGTAATTTTTTGTTGTTACCTCGTGGATTGCTGCTAAGAGAGTTAAAAAAATATTTTTCAGCTTGGCTATGAACCATGTTCGTGATGTGCTTTATAACAATGACCACCATAAGGTATAAGGATTATACATTTCCTATAGAATGTCTAGAATTAACTTTTCACAAAATGTTTATACATTTCCTATAGAATGTCTAGAATTAACTTTTCACAAAATGTTTATACATTTCCTATAGAATGTCTAGAATTAACTTTTCACAAAATGTTTATACATTTCCTATAGAATGTCTAGAATTAACTTTTCACAAAATGTTTATACATTTCCTATAGAATGTCTAGAATTAACTTTTCACAAAATGTTTATACATTTCCTATAGAATGTCTAGAATTAACTTTTCACAAACATCAGGTCTCTAATTAACCCTCAGGTCTCTATCTAATTAACCCTCAGGTCTCTGATTAACCCTTTAGGTGTCAATCTAATTAACCATTAGGTCTCAATCTAATTAACCCTCTAGGTTGTAGATCTAATATTGGATACAATGAATGATTTAGTAATTTATTATTGAGAACAGCGTGGTCAGAGGTAGAGCTCAATGATAACATATAACTTGTCTCAACTCCTGGGCTCAAGATGTGTCTGAGTCCACTCAGCTCTTAAGGGTACCTGACGCATATTAGGGAAACTGAGGTGGCTGGGCATATTGCTGACCACACTATCCACTTGTATTAGGGAAACTGGCTGGGCATATTGCTGACCACACTTTCCCCTTGTAGGCTGTTTTCATTGATCAAAAGCCCCATTTGTCTTGGCATAAACCCTAACCCTAACCCTTGGCATAAGCAGAAAAAGATGATGATGAATCTAATATTGGATAACCCTTATGTTATAACATTTATCACACAAGCCGACCCGCGGCGTAGCATACGCCTTTATTTAGTTGTTTTATTTTCTACTTTTCAGTAATTCATAATTTGTGAATTCGACACAACCAATGCTACCACTGAAAATATTTGCTTTAAACCACTATCAGTAGCTTGTTAGATCCATGAAGAGAATTACTTCTTATTACAATAAAATGAATTTAATATTTAATTTCTATGTTGTAACTAATTGTGATGTATAATCTTCTTATTTAATTTGGCAATGCCGTTAATGATTTGCCCTTTTTGTTAATGAAACAGATTTCAAGGGATCAAGCCTTGAAAACAATTGGTGATACAGTGATGTCTAATATAAAAAGTTGGTAATTTTTATACATTGCTTCAGTAGTAACCTCTAGAAAAGTCTCTGTCTGTCTGTCTGTCTGTCTGTCTGTCTGTCTGTCTGTCTGTCTGTCTGTCTGTCTGTCTGTCTGTCTGTCTGTCTGTCTGTCTTAATTGTATGTTGGCCTTGATTTCCTCCTACACAGGAGGAATGAAATCCTAGTGGTAGTGCAACCCTAACCCTTAGATGTTTGTGGTGGGGGGGGGGGGGGGGGGTTAGTTGTAGCTTTGTGACACCATTTTCAGTTGTGTCCTCTTCTTGACATTTTCAGTTGTGTCGTCTTTTTGTCCTCTTCATGACATTGTCGGCTATGTCCTCTTCTTGTCATCATTGACCAACTGACTGTATCATTAGCAATAAAAACAACTCAAAAATTTCATTTAAAATTGGTTCCAAGTCTCTTAAACACTGTTCAGTGTTTTCCTTAGGGAAATAAATACGTTTCTTTTTCTGCTAGAGCCAGTCATAAAGTTATTTTTTTGGCTAAGACAAGTCAATTTTTATTTTCCACCAGGTATTTATCCAGACGTTGATGAAAGAGTTATCTCATCTTGTTATCAAACATTGGTTAAACAGATGTTTAGAGACCTCATTCTTGATGAAGACAGAAGGTTCCATTTTTTGAAAACTTTTTTTTACCAAACCTACTTAAAGAATAGCCACAATGTTTACATCAGCTCAATTTTTCTGCTGTGAAGCAAACATTTTTTATCGTCCCTAATCTATTTTTAGATGTGACGGCAGAGCCTTGGATCAACTTCGAGATATCAGCTGTTCTGTTGATGTCTTGAAACCCTTGCATGGTTCTGCCATCTTTCAACGTGGACAAACTCAAGTTAGTTCACTTAACACTAGTCAGGACAAACTCAAGTTAGTTCACTTAACACTAGTCAGGACAAACTCAAGTTAGTTCACTTTACATTAGTCAGGACAAACTCAAGTTAGTTCACTTAACACTAGTCAGGACAAAGTCAAGTTAGTTCACTTAACACTAGTCAGGACAAACTCAAGTTAGTTCACTTAACACTAGTCAGGACAAACTCAAGTTAGTTCACTTAACATTAGTCAGGACAAACTCAAGTTAGTTCACTTAACACTAGTCAGGACAAACTCAAGTTAGTTCACTTAACACTAGTCAGAACAAACTCAAGTTAGTTCACTTAACACTAGTCAGGACAAACTCAAGTTAGTTCACTTTGCTAGTCAGGACAAACTCAAGTTAGTTCACTTAACACTAGTCAGGACAAACTCAAGACCTACAATCTACTGTAACAAAAAATATCTGTTTTCTCCAGGTTTTTTGTACTGTGACATTTGATAGTTTAGACTCAGCTGTCAAATCTGATCCTATTTCTGTGATAACTGGGTAAGTATTTCACTTGTATTAACTTACATATGGTGTATTGCCTTGAGCACTATATATATTAAGTACTAAACGTATTTCTTCTGGTTTACTCTTTAAGTTGTAAGATGTTATTCCAAAAATATTGTGTTGAATAATTTTTAAAACAAGTGAAACAAAAGTTAATGTAAAATGTTTGGGTGTGTGTATGGGTGGAGGTTATGGTTTGTGTGTGTGTGGTGGGATTGGGGGAAGGTTGCAACACCAAAAAAAGCACATGCATGTAGGTTAGTAATTTGTTAATGACCCTAATGTCATTACCACCCTGTCAGCTACTTAAGATGTGGTGGGGGGTGCTGTATGCCCCTCTATTATTTGCTCCCCCTTTTCAATATTTAATTATATAAAACTAAATTTAATTTAAAAAGAATGACCCAAGCAGTTGTGTTGTGTTTTATTGTACTTACATCATTTATCAATCTACAGGAGTATGAAAGAAAAGAATTTTATGCTGCACTATGAGGTAAGCAACAGTCAGAAGAAGTAAACATTCAGTTTTTTAATAGTATATTTCAATTCTTAATTTAATATGGTGCTTCAAATATATTCCAGATGAAAACAAATATTTTCTCTAATCAGATTGTAACGTTTACCTATCTATCAGCCAGATAGATGGTGAACGTCCCCGGATTCTTTTTTCGGGGTTATATGCAAATGACTTAAAGCCTAAATGAATGAACACTAACTAAACAACACACTAGGGCTCGATCTCGATGTCTAGGGAAAACTAGTGATACTATTGAAGTTAACAACTCATCCAATCTGCATACAACCTTTAATAAGCGAACACAGTTGTGGCAGAACACTAAGTTAAACGAGATAAAATATTTAATTTAGAAAATAACAAAACCCAACTTACAAAGCGTAAGAAAAAATACTATCACAGATTTTAACACTGTATAAAAATAGCCACAGGTCACACAACACTGCTATAGCTTCAAGAAATCACTTGGCGACAAGTAATATTATACTAGAATAATAAAACAACTTAAGAAAGCATAGCACACACAGGACTTAAGTTCTCTCACGTTCAAATGGTCAGAATCTATTGCCGGACAATATGGACGGCCTGGTCCTAATAGACCGTTTGATCAAGGTAGACTGCCTCGTGTTGCGAGTGTGCGATCCAGTTAAAGACTTATGCAACAGGGGAGGTTATCCTCAACTCATGTAGCCATTGGTTGGGATGGTCATCTGATCAGAATCAATCAATCAGATCTTGATGGAAAATTTCTGGGTCCTAGACACCCTAAGACAGTGGAAAAACCCCGGTAGTTGCACCATCAATCCATATAAGGTATTATACAATGTCAAAATAAAACATTACTGGACCTAAGTAGGTCACATCCCCTCCCTTTTTGGAAGTGACAGATAGGTTCCACAAAAACATACATAAGGAACCAATCTGGCAATGAAAATAAAAAAAAATGTTTTACAAATGTAGGCAATCAAAAAGTAATTATACATCAAAATCCCTCAGAAAAGGGTATTACAATATTTCCATGTGGATATTAAAAGTGGTAAACCCGCCAGGGTAAGACCTTTATTTCAATGACTAGCTACAATAACACCGAGTCATATGAGACATATTATCATAAAAGATTACATATAATCAAAAACCACCTTTAATTAAGGTTCACCTACAAATAAACAAAATATTCAACAGGATTGGAATTTTGAAAAATTCAAACTCATACCACTCATTTTCATGTGAGAACACAACACTTGTGTATGGTCTTAATAAACCACAAAACATGTCACATGATCAATGTGTGCAATAAGATTTTACATCCTTGACAAACAATCAGCCACAACATTATCACTACCCTTAATGTGTGAAATTTCCAGATTAAAATTTTGGAAATATAAACACCATCTCAATATTCTTTGATTTGTCTGTCCTAACTTAGAGGTAAATTTCAGGGGATCATGGTCAGAAAACACTCTGACTGGATTGGTTGAAGAAGTGACATAGACTTCAAAATGTTGTAATGACAAAACCAAAGCTAAAGCTTCTTTTTCAATAGTAGAGTAATTCTTTTGGTTCTCATTTAACTTCCTGGAAAAAAAGGCAATGTGATTCTACTTCCTTTTACGTATCTGAGATGGCAGCCGGTACACTTTACACATACCCTCAAAGCTTTAGAGCCAACAAGGCCCTTATCGCGGCCCAATATAGTGGAGCTGATGTGGTAGTTGACAGCAAATTCAAGCTTGGAGAGACTAACAAGTCAGCTGAATTTTTGAAGAAGTTTGCTAATGGCAAGGTTCCTGCTTTTGAGGGTAAAGATGGATTTGTATTGACAGAAAGCAATGCAATTGTTTGATGGGTTTTGCGTCACCTACGTCTACATCATGAGGTGGAACCTTCGCTTCTTTGGGGACATCCCCAAAAATAGAGGGAAATGTCTCGAATAACTGAGACAATCTATGGCTTTCCTCTGTGGACAAATGCATAAGGTGGTCATTTAAATTATCTAAAAAGGAAGAATTTACCAATTTTGGGGGTTTCAATTTATCATGTATCACATCATCAGAAACATTTGAACATACAGGTAAAGTAATTTTAGCTGTGGAATGAAAATTGTTACAATTATCATAATATTTTTTCAGTGAGTTAACATGATACACTGTCTGTTTCTTTCTTCTGTCAGGCGTATTGACAACATAGTTCAAATCACTTAATTTTGAATGCACAGTAAAGGGTCCACAATATCTTAAGGATAACGCATTGTTCAGATTAGGCACTAGCACAAGAACTTTGTCGCCTGGATTGAATGTTCGTTTACGAGAACTCTTATCATACAGTCCTTTCATTCTCACTTGGGCCTTTCTTAAGTTCTTGTGAGCCATTTCGCACACGGCTTTCAGTCGAACGTGAAAATCGTCAAAGTTTTCCACAGGATGATCGCTGGTACCTGTCCAACGTTCGTGGATCAGCTTCAGGGGACCTCGGACAGAATGTCCAAACACAACTTGAAAAGGAGAGTAACCTAAAGAGTCCTGGACACAGTCCCTCGCGGCGAAAATAATCCAAGGAACAGTCTCATCCCATTGGGTGTTACTTTTAGCGAATGTTCTTAGCATGGTTTTGAGGGTTTGGTGGAACCTCTCAAGTACGCCTTGAGACTGAGGGTGGTATGCTGAGCTGGTGATGTGGGTAACGCCTAGCTTGGCTAGTGCTTCCTGAAAATGGTGACTGGTGAAGTTGCTGCCTTGATCTGTTTGCACGATTCTAGGTAATCCAAAGGTAGTGAAGAACCGGGTCATGGCTCTGACTACAGTCTTTGCCTTAATGTTCCGTAAGGGGAACGCCTCGGGAAAACGGGTACTTGAACACATAAAGGTAAGTAGGTACTCGTTGCCCGCCTTGGTTTTAGGCAAGGGACCTACACAGTCCATGACGATTTTAGAAAAGGGTTCTTCTAATACAGGAATCGGACTCAAAGGGGCCTTAGGAATTTTCTGGTTTGGTTTTCCGGCCAACTGACAGTTCGTGCAACTTTTGCAGTAACGCGACACATCATTTCTCATTTTGGGCCAAAAGAACAGTTCTTTGATCTTCGCCGTCGTTTTAGTGACTCCTGGGTGCGCTGACATTGGATGGTCATGTGCCAGCTTAAGTATTTCATGCCGATAAGGTGGAGGAACCCACAGCTGGTTTTTACCCAACCATGGTTCGGCTGGTGAGGCATTCACTGGTACAGAGCGACGAAAGAAGAGGCCGTTCTCGGAGAAATATTCCCCATCGTCAGATGATAGAGATTTTTCGACCATTGCCTTGAGTTCCGCGTCGACTTGTTGAGCTTTAATGATGTCTTCCTGAGATATCCTCAGGGGCAAGCCCAGGCTTGTGTTTTCTGGAAGCATAGACTCCAGTTTGGGAGTCGAATTTCTTGATGATGGTAGGTGTGGTTCAGACGTTGTGTCAGCCAATTGTTTGGTCTGGCTTCTTGTCACCACACATGCAGGATACAGTTCATTATCATTATCTGGAACTGTTGACAAAGGGTTTGGAACCGTACAGGGGTATACTTTGCTTCCCGCAAAGTCATTCCCTAGAAGTAGGTGTACTCCTGGGACAGGAATACTAGCTATCACACCTAAAATGACTTCACCTTCGACGAGATGATGTTTCAGGGCAAACTTGTGTAGAGGGACGACAGTAGATTTTGTCCCCACTCCCTGGATAATGGAAATATTTCCGGTGTTCGTCTCTGGTGTAATGTCCATTGAACTTTTCAAAAGGAGTGATTGTGATGCTCCTGTGTCTCTTAGGACGGTGATATTCCGCTGAGACAACGGATCACCTGGTTTGCTAATGATAGCTTCGGCAATGAAAGATGAAAAGTCAACTTTTCTCGATCCCTCGAGATCGGTAGACTCGGAAGAAACTGGATGGTGGCGAGAACAGTCAAAATGTGACTGCACATAATGTGTGGAGACTTGACTACCTTCTTGCGGACACTTAGGGTTAGAGTCCTTTAGAATTCTAGAGTTCATAGTTGAACTGGCTGCTTGAGGGGATAGAGCATAGTGCGCAGAAGTACGCACCACCTCTCTGTTATATTGACGACGTTTGTCACAGTCCTTGACAAGATGACCAGGTCTTTTGCAGAACTGGCATACTGCTCGACGATTGAGAGTTGATCTTGGTTTCTCTCTGGACTGTGATGCCTTCACGTGTTGGCCAACAGGAGGATTGCTGCCAAAAAGGGGAAGCACGGGGTTGAGGCGGTTTCCTGACACTGGTGGTTTCTTATGCACCAACATATATGTGTCAGCAGACTCAGCAGCCTTCTGGATGTCAATTATCTTGTTATCCAGTATGTGTAGTCGTATCTCTTCAGGCAGGGACGTTAGGAATTCTTCCCTTAGGATAAGTGACCTGAGCTTCTCAAACTCAGAAACTTCCTCAGAGTGTAGCCACCTTGAGAATATTTTCTCCTTTTCAAAGAGAAATTCCACATATGATTGAGTGGGAATTTTGTCCGATAGGCCTCGGGCGTCAGTTCGTAGGCCTTCAAAATGGCAGTCTTGACCAAACTATAGTTATTTTGAATGTCGTGAGAGAGTGCCTGGTATGTTTTTGCAGCTTTCCCAGTAAGGACCGAGCTCAATAAAGCAGTAATGGAAGTTTCGGGCCATTCACATGTCTTCGCTAAACTCTCAAATGAGTTAAAGAAAACGACCAAATCTGTTTCATCAAATTTAGGAACTAATTTCCCAAATTTGGCAATCACTTGCCCCACCGACAACTTTTTTGGATCTACTAGAGAAGTGACATCACTAACTTGACCAAACTCTAATTCCAACCTCCTCTTATCTAAAGCAATTTTAGCCTCTAACTCCTGTTTCTCTAGAGCACTTTTAGTTTCAAACTCCTTTTCTTTTAAAGCCTTCTCTAAAGCAACTTTCTCCTTCTCTAAAGCAATTCTAGCTTCTAATTCTACCTTCTCTAGAGGTTTCTCCTCGCGGAGTAACACACCAGCCAACAAACTTTCATCAAATACTCCTTCATTAATAAAATGAACAACAATTTTATCTCTCAACACCTCTGATTTCTGCGTAACAGAATAATCCAATTTCAATTCCTTAACAACACTAATCAAAACTTTTCTACTCAACTTTTCTACCTCCTCAAAAGTGGGATTAGCCAAAAAAGATTCCATAGCACTAACTTTAAAATCACAACAAGCCTAGATTCACTAAATTAACACGGAGCGTTGGGCCGAGTACTTGACCTCCTATCGTGACACGTCTGGCTTTTGACCTAGATACCTCTAGCCTTGCGCGCGTTTCAATAACACGGCTTCACTGGATAGAAAAACAACTAAATCAACTAAACTTAGTGTTTAACTGATATAACCAACAACTGGAACGACAGATTAAATCCCGGACGAGCCCCCACTTTGTAACGTTTACCTATCTATCAGCCAGATAGATGGTGAACGTCCCCGGATTCTTTTTTCGGGGTTATATGCAAATGACTTAAAGCCTAAATGAATGAACACTAACTAAACAACACACTAGGGCTCGATCTCGATGTCTAGGGAAAACTAGTGATACTATTGAAGTTAACAACTCATCCAATCTGCATACAACCTTTAATAAGCGAACACAGTTGTGGCAGAACACTAAGTTAAACGAGATAAAATATTTAATTTAGAAAATAACAAAACCCAACTTACAAAGCGTAAGAAAAAATACTATCACAGATTTTAACACTGTATAAAAATAGCCACAGGTCACACAACACTGCTATAGCTTCAAGAAATCACTTGGCGACAAGTAATATTATACTAGAATAATAAAACAACTTAAGAAAGCATAGCACACACAGGACTTAAGTTCTCTCACGTTCAAATGGTCAGAATCTATTGCCGGACAATATGGACGGCCTGGTCCTAATAGACCGTTTGATCAAGGTAGACTGCCTCGTGTTGCGAGTGTGCGATCCAGTTAAAGACTTATGCAACAGGGGAGGTTATCCTCAACTCATGTAGCCATTGGTTGGGATGGTCATCTGATCAGAATCAATCAATCAGATCTTGATGGAAAATTTCTGGGTCCTAGACACCCTAAGACAGTGGAAAAACCCCGGTAGTTGCACCATCAATCCATATAAGGTATTATACAATGTCAAAATAAAACATTACTGGACCTAAGTAGGTCACAAGATATTGATAAATTTGTCCAGATATCTTGTAGTTTCCACCCTATAAATTGATGTTGATATCTTGTAGTTTCCACCCTATAAATTGATGTTGATATCTTGTAGTTTCCACCCTATAAATTGATGTTGATATCTTGTAGTTTCCACCCTATAAATTGATGTTGATATCTTGTAGTTTCCACCCTATAAATTGATGTTGATATCTTGTAGTTTCCACCCTATAAATTGATGTTGATATCTTGTAGTTCCACCCTATAAATTGATGTTGATATCTTGTAGTTCCACCCTATAAATTGATGTTGATAACTTGTAGTTTCCACCCTATAAATTGATGTTGATAACTTGTAGTTTCCACCCTATAAATTGATGTTGATATCTTGTAGTTTCCACCCTATAAATTGATGTTGATATCTTGTAGTTTCCACCCTATAAATTGATGTTGATATCTTGTAGTTCCACCCTATAAATTGATGTTGATATTTTGTAGTTCCACCCTATAAATTGATGTTGATAACTTGTAGTTTCCACCCTATAAATTGATGTTGATAACTTGTAGTTTCCACCCTATAAATTGATGTTGATATCTTGTAGTTTCCACCCTATAAATTGATGTTGATATCTTGTAGTTTCCACCCTATGCAACCAATGAAACTGGGCGTGGAGGAATTGGAAGGAGAGAACTGGGTCATGGTAATTTTTATTTTATTTTATTAGTTGGGTTTGATGTCTGTTGCTTTTCTTAGTTACTTTTGAGTCCAGTAAAATAGCTGTAGGTAGTTACTATTGACTTCAGTAAAATAGCTGTAGGTAGTTACTATTGACTCCAGTGAAATAGCTGTAGGTAGTTACTATTGAGTCCAGTGAAATAGCTGTAGGTAGTTACTATTGACTCCAGTAAAATAGCTGTAGGTAGTTACTATTGACTCCAGTAAAATAGCTGTAGGTAGTTACTATTGAGTTCAGTAAAATAGCTGTAGGTAGTTACTATTGAGTTCAGTAAAATAGCTGTAGGTAGTTACTATTGAGTTCAGTGAAATAGCTGTAGGTAGTTACTATTGAGTTCAGTAAAATAGCTGTAGGTAGTTACTATTGAGTTCAGTGAAATAGCTGTAGGTAGTTACTATTGAGTTCAGTAAAATAGCTGTAGGTAGTTACTATTGAGTTCAGTAAAATAGCTGTAGGTAGTTACTATTGAGTTCAGTAAAATAGCTGTAGGTAGTTACTATTGACTCCAGTAAAATAGCTGTAGGTAGTTTTATTGCCTTTGATAGTTTAACTTCTGTTTTTAGGTGCTCTGGCTGAAAAGGGGTTGAAAGCAATTCTTCCAGAAGAATCCGAATTCACAACACGAGTAACCTCTGAAGTCTTAGAATCCAATGGTAAACAATTTTTTTAAAATGTCTTCAACTTGGGAAGTTGAGGTTGAATGATTGTACATGACAGCCCCCCTTACTGATGTTGAATGATTGTACATGACAGCCCCCCTTACTGATGTTGAATGATTGTACATGACAGCCCCCCTTACTGATGTTGAATGATTGTACATGACAGCCCCCCTTACTGATGTTGAATGATTGTACATGTCAGCCCCCCTACTGATGTTGAATGATTGTACATGACAGCCCCCTACTGATGTTGAATGATTGTACATGTCAGCCCCCCTACTGATGTTGAATGATTGTACATGACAGCCCCCTACTGATGTTGAATGATTGTACATGTCAGCCCCCCTTACTGATGTTGAATGATTGTACATGACAGCCCCCTTACTGATGTTGAATGATTGTACATGACAGCCCCCTACTGATGTTGAATGATTGTACATGACAGCCCCCCTTACTGATGTTGAATGATTGTACATGACAGCCCCCTTACTGATGTTGAATGATTGTACATGACAGCCCCCTTCCTCTTCTGATGTTGAATGATTGTACATGACAGCCTACCTTACTGATGTTGAATGATTGTATATGTCAGCCCCCATCCCCACTGATGTTGAATGATTGTACATGACAGCCTACCTTACTGATGTTGAATGATTGTACATGTCAGCCCCCCCCCCACTGATGTTGAATGATTGTACATGACAGCCCCGCCTACTGATGTTGAATGATTGTACATGACAGCCCCCCCCCCTACTGATGTTTAATGATTGTACATGACAGCCCCCCTTACTGATGTTGAATGATTGTACATGACAGCCCCCTCTACTGATGTTGAATGATTATACATGACAGCCCCCCTTACTGATGTTGAATGATTGTACATGACAGCCCCCCCCCTACTGATGTTGAATGATTGTACATGACAGCCCCCTACTGATGTTGAATGATTGTACATGACAGCCCCACCACTACTGATGTTGAATGATTGTACATGACAGCCCCCTCTACTGATGTTGAATGATTGTACATGACAGCCCCACCACTACTGATGTTGAATGATTGTACATGACAGCCCCCCCCCTACTGATGTTGAATGATTGTACATGACAGCCCCCCTTACTGATGTTGAATGATTGTACATGACAGCCCCCTCTACTGATGTTGAATGATTGTACATGACAGCCCCCTCTACTGATGTTGAATGATTGTACATGACAGGTTCCTCCTCTATGGCCTCTGTGTGTGGTGGAAGTCTGGCGTTGATGGATGCCGGTGTAGCTGTGAAGGAACCTGCAGCAGGTGTTGCCATGGGTCTTGTTACACGTATTAACCCTCAAAGTGGACAGCTAGAGAAGCACAAGATTCTTACAGACTTATTGGTCAGTCATTTGGCTAGTTTATACTTTTCAGTTTTCAGCAATCTTTTGACTACTGAATGTCAGTGTTATATCAAATTAAATTTTAATTAAATTTTACAATAAAAAGGTTTTATATATATATATATATATATATATATATATATATATATATATATATATATATATATATATATATATATATATATATATATAGATATATATAAAATAGATATATATAAGATATATATATAGATATATATATAGATATATATATAGATATATATATAGATATATATATAGATATATATATAGATATATATATAGATATATATATAGATATATATATAGATTTATATATAGATATATATATAGATATATATATAGATATATATATATAGATATATATATAGATATATATATAGATATATATATAGATATATATATAGATATATAGATTATATATAGATTATATATAGATATATATATAGATATATATATAGATATATATATAGATATAGATATAGATATATATATAGATATATATATAGATATATATTAATAGATATATATATATAGATATATATAGATATATATATAGATATATATATAGATATATATATAGATATATATATAGATATATATATATAGATATATATATAGATATATATATAGATATATATATATAGATATATATATATAGATATATATATATAGATATATATATATAGATATATATATAGATATATATATATAGTTATATATATGATATATTATAGATATATATTGATTATATATAGATATATATAGATATATATTATATATATATATATATATATAGATATATATATATAGATAATATATAGATATCTATATATATATAGACCTATAATATAGACCTATTATATATACCTATAATATCTATATATATATAGATATATTATAGATATATATAGATATATATATAGATATATATATAGAAATATATATAGATATATTATATATCTATATATATATATCTATATATATCTATATATATATCTATATATATATCTATATATATATCTATATATATATCTATATATATATCTATATATATATCTATATATATATCTATATATATATCATATATATATCTAGATATATATCTATAATATATCTATATATATCTATATATATCTATATATATCTATATATATATCTATATATATATCTATATATTATATCTATATATATATCTATATAATTCTATATATATATCTATATATATATCTATATATATATCTATATATATATCTATATATAATATCTATATATATATCTATATATATATCTATATATATATCTATATATATCTATATATATATCTATATATATATAATATATATATATATATATATATATATATATATATATATATATATATATATCTATATATATATCTATATATATATCTATATATATATCTATATATATATCTATATATATATCTATATATATATATAATATATATATATCTATAATATATATCTATATATATATCTATATATCCATATATATCTATATATCCATATATATATCATATATATTATCCATATATATATCCATATATATATCCATATATATATCCATATATATATCCATATTCCATATATATATCCATATATATATCCATATATATATCCATATATATATCCATATATATAAGCCATATATATATCCATATATATATCCATATATATATCCATATATATATCCATATAATATATCCATATATATATCCATATATATATCCATATATATATCCATATATATATCCATATATATATCCATATATATATCCATATATATATCCATATATATATATCCATATATATATCCATATATATATCCATAATATATATCCATATATATATCCATATATATATCCATATATATATCCATATATATATCCATATATATATCCATATATATATCCATATATATATCCATATATATATCCATATATATAT